GAAGTGAGACAGATGTTACAGGAAGTGAGAAATATGATACAGGAAGTTAGACAGATGTTACAGGAAGTGAGACAGATGTTACAGGAAGTGAGAAATATGATACAGGAAGTGAGACAGATGTTACAGGAAGTAAATGGTAAATGGACTGTACTTATACAGCACCTTTCTATCTTATTTCAAGACACTCAAAGCTCTTTACAACAATCTGTGCCTCATTTACCCATTCATACAGCTCTATACTAGATCTCTACAAAGATAATTGAACAAATCATTCTAAAGAGACTGATCAGAGATTTATCACATTCAGACACTGATGGACACACATCAGAGGCTGTGAGGGGTTCAGCGTCTTGTCCTGAGACACTTCAGCATGTGACTGCTGGTGGATTCGAACCCCCAACTCTCGCATTGGAGGACGACTGCTCTAACCACTGAGCCACAGCCGCCCAAGTGAGACAGATGTTACAAGAAGTGAGAAATATGATACAGGAAGTGAGACAGATGTTACAGGAAGTGAGACAGATGTTACAGGAAATGAGAAATATGATACAGGAAGTGAGACAGAGGTTAACAAAAAATTCTACTTGTGAACAGATGAGACAGATGGGCCGATGTTGAACAGGGGTCCGATCTTGGACAAGGAGACATACGTTGGACAGATGTTGAACAGGGGGACAGATGTTTTTACCTGCTCCGATAACTTCCTCAATCTTAACAAAGGCGGCGTCGATCTCCTTGGTGAACTCTCTGACAGCCTCGTTGGGGTCCTCGTAGGTGAACGGGTCGATGTAGACCTTCATCGCTATGACAACAGGACATCATCATCATCAGAACAATCCAAACCAACATCCTGCCCTCTCATTGGCCGGTCTGTAAGACTGGCTGTGATTGGCTGAGAGACTCACTCTGTCCCATCTGGTAGTGTCCTGTCTTATCGCTGCCGCCACGCCGCCGCCGCTTCCTGCTGACAGACACACAGGCAGGGAGACAGATGGACACAGAGATAGATGGACAGAGACAGACGGACAGAGACAAAAGTATGTTTAAGCAACTGCAAGAGTCTTGTTTCATCAGGACACACAGAGACACACAAAGGTCTCAAAGGTTGCTTCTTTGTCTCAATTTAGTCAGACTGTCCCACCCTGTCCTCTGAACACCCTCTGTGTGTCTGTGTGGAGGCGTGTGTGTGTGTGTCTCTGTGTGGAGGCGTGTGTGTGTGTCTGTGTGGAGGCGTGTGTGTGTGTGT